CCAAAGCTTACAAGGAGATTTTATTATATCACTGTGTCCATATGATCACTCTAAAAAATCTTATGCACTTAGAATGTGACATGTGTCTCCTGATTGGGTGGCTAACTTAATTGAGATGAACTCATCATATTAGTATTATGGCCTATGCCCATGTGTTCCCTAAGGGCTAAGTTTATGAGTTGTGAGCCGTAAGTCCTTGATAGAGTATGAATTCCTATGTTGGCCAAGATTGATCTTAAAATTTGCCCCTTTAACAAGTTGTCCCCAAGGTTTGCGAGGTGGACGATGCAAATCATAGTTATTAACAATGATCATCAGCTAAGTTGGGTCAACTATCTCCGCTAGGTAGACCAGGATCAGTGGTAACTTTGGTTAATGGAATCATAAAATCTTAATCTAATTTTGTTGTCATTTCCTTCCATCTACTCTAAGCTAATATCATTATATTTTTCTTTGAATTTGATTTTTTGCTACTAAGGCATAGACTTTGTAGAACACATATATTAACTGATGTGAAACGTACTTGCAAGGATGATTAACTTAGGGAGTTTGCACGCTTAATGTTAGAAGCCATAATAATCATATCTTCACAATGAATGCTCTAACGACAAAAGAAAGCACTATGAGCGGTAAAATAAGCTTAGGCCGAATCACGCGCGTAAAAGCTAAGATCATAAAACAATCACGTTAATCTGATGTTGCATACATGGATGATTTTCAACAAGAGATCCCTAGATTAACAATAAGATTAGCCACAATGCAAAGATCCCTCACTTCACTCTCTAGCTTACTAAGTTTTTTTAGCGGAGAATAATTAACATGATCTTCATGGATCCAAAATAATCATAAGAGAGAAGTGGACTAGGAAAATAAGAGATTTGGAGGGAGAGTTTACCTAATGGGAAGACAAGAAAGACCTCTTAATTGCTGTTGGAAAGCAGCCGACTCTTCTCTGGTGCACTGGACAACCTAATACTTTGCTGAAATGTTCTGGACAGCACCCACGGAAGTTTGGACAGCAGGTTTTGGGTCTTGGAAGTTCTGGACAGCAACTTGTAGGCTTCTGGATAGCAGCTTTCAAGGCTCCAATACTCAGGATAACACGTGACGCCTGTCCAAGAATCTGGACAGCAAACTGGGCTGGTTCTTTGGGCCGTAAGCAGAGATCTTTGGTCAGCTGGACAGCAACTTAGGCTTCGGAATTCTGCTGGACAGCAAGGGGACAAGAAGGAATAGTTTGAAAAGCCTCCAAACAATGACCAGAAAATCTGGACGGCAGCTCCCTGTGTTCGACAGAAATTTGGACAGCTTTGATAGGGTGTTGGGAGCCTTTGGACAGCAACCTCTGGCCTTCAGCAGTGAATAACAGTAACCCAATATGGCTGGAATATGGGGACAGCCTGCAGAAATCTCACGTGAAGGGAGGAAAACATGAGAAGAGTTTGGGAGGAGGCAGCTAAGGCTGAGAATTGGAAGGGGAATTAATGAGATTAACTTGGGAGAGAGAAAAGTCAAACAAAATCTGAAATTAATTCTCAGATTTAATAAAATTGGAGGGAATAATTCAAATCAAAGGATTAATGGGAGGTGAGGAATTATGGGAGATAATTAGAGAGTCTTAATGGAGAGCAATTAATGAAAATTGGAGAGAGAGGGGAAAGATTAAGTGGCCGGCCATGTAGGGAGAGGGGAGGGAGAGTTAATTGCTTAGTATGTGGGGCCCACGGAAATTACTAAAGGTTTTAATCAAATCTGAAATTTTAATTCAGATTTCATTAAATGAGGAAGTTTCCTAATTGAAATTTATTAGGGAAGGAATTATTTTAATTCAAATATTGGATTGAATTCAAAGTAATAAACCTTCATAATTGGGAGGATTATTTTAGGAAAGTATTTATGGGCTTAGAATTTTGAATTTCAAATTCCATGGGAAAGGGAGAGGTGGCCGGCGGCATGGGGGTGGAGATGGGGACGGGCCGTGGTGGAGATGGTGGTTTTGGGAGAGGTGGCCTGCGACTGGGTAGGCTACGGCAGTCGGCGGGTTGGGGAAAACAGGGGCTTGAGGTGGAGGAATTTAGGAGAGAATTTGGGTGGTGAGAATGGCCGGCGGTGGAAGCTATGGACGTAGACGGATGGAGAGGGAATTCGATGCAAGAAGAAAATAAAAAGAAAAAAGAAGATAAGAGAACCGCGAACCTTGGAATCCACCAAGATTGACGGGTATTGCTTTTGCCCCACTTGGGCCTCTCTTCTCACAAACTCACTAAGAGATCATTCCAAGAGAGAGAACTTAGAACTCACAAAGAGATCCATAAGCACAAATTGAAAATTTCATATCAATATTCATCATCCTCAATTACAAGAAAGTAGCCTATAAATAGGCCACATGAAGAGAAAAGAAATAAAAGATTAAAATGCCCTTCGGGCTACAACACTACATGACCACCCATAAGGGTAAAAAGGAAAAACAACAAAATAAAATAAAAAACATAAATAAATAGACTCAAGATCGTAGCCGTTGATCTCCGATGTCCTCATCATTAACTTTAATCGAAAGTTCTATCTCATGATAGAGAAAAAAAGAATTAACTATTGTGGCCAGTGCCTAAAAGAAACATTGAACCAAATCATAAAATCTTCGTGAGAGGGTGAAGCCCTACCTAATATCCAATCTTCCTTACAAAAATCAACTCATGTTAACTTGAATATGATAAAGTTGAGTGAAGGTTTTCAGAGGTAGGGGTGTCAATATTTGACACGACCCGAAAACCCGACTCGAACCCGACACGAAAATTTCGGGTTCGGGTCAACCCGAACCCAAAACGGGTCGGGTTAAAGATTTCGACCCGTTTGAAAAAACGGGTCGGGTCCAGGTTGACCCGGAAACCCGAAATCAACCCGGGTTCAAGATTTAAGGAGAAGACGGAACTCGGCAACGATTCGGGAGGCCACCAGTTGCGTGGTTCGAATCTACCATCTCACCAGAGCTTGGCGAGTCGGTGGCGAAGGACTCTCTAGAGTATGTTGGCGCATCGGTGGATCAATGCGGCGCGATAATGCAGAGATTATCTCTGAGGGTAAGGCTGCCCTCCTTGCTGTTGATTCTCACGTTGAGACCAATTCCTCCGATCTCCAGAGTCTAGATTCCTTCTTCCACGGATTTCACTGCCTCGGCCTCGAAGAGGTGCAGTCAATTTAAGACACAAGTTTTGGCAATGTAGGCAGGCAAATCCCCGTACTTTTTTTGAGAAGCCAGAGGAGGTAGGTCTTTTTGAGAAGCTCATGCCTTCTGTTGATGTTAATTTTACAGGATTTATAAGCTGAAGCAAGCGGAGGATGTTAGGGCCACTCTTGTTAAGCAGGCAATCACAAGATCACATCAATTCCTCCAACTTTTTAAAGATCATGAATCTGGATTCTCGAAGAAAGTGCACCAAAGAAGAAACTCAAAACAATTTTGGTGAGGTAGTTTCAGCTGATCACGATGCTGCAATGAAGTAGCGATGGGAGCTCGGCAAAGCGACGGGAGCTTGGCAGTGGCTCGATTGAACAGAAGTAGCGACGGGAGATCGGCAGCTCGCAAAGCCACAATAGTTCGGCAGCTTGCGAAACCAGAAAAACCGTGTCGGGTCGGGTTGACCCGAACCCGAAGCGGGTCGGGTTCGGGTCAGAAAAATCAACCCGTTTATAAAAACGGGTAGGGTTCGGGTTGACCCGAATAGTGCCGGGTCAGTTTCGGGTTTGACCCGAATCCGACCCACAACCCGAAATTGACACCCCTATTCAGAGGCAACAATGCATAAATAGAGCTCTAAATGAAAAAAAGGTTTGGTCAAGTCTGTGAAAAAGATGTATGATAACAAGAGTACGAAAAACTACAATCTATAAAGAAAATGAAAATCCATCAGAACAAACTAAAAAAAAATGACATCTTAAAGAAGTTAATCATGCCATTTTAAACATCAACCAAGTCCAAAATGCTAAAATCATCAGGTGGAGTTATTGCGTTTTGTTTGAATATAGTAAATCTGAGTGGAAGCATTCTTTTGATTAGTACCTCGATGAGAAAAAGCCAGCTGAAATCTTTTATTCGTTAAATCAACAAAATTTCTTATAGAATCTTGAGATTGAATCATGCTAGAATCATCAAAACCCTCCACTTTAGGATAATCTAGTGTAGTACTAGTGAAGATGGTTGTGCTATCGGCAGGAGTTGTAACATTAAAAGTAATGGCAAGATTCTTAGTCGGCTTGCAAATCTCTACATGATCTTGGCTTTTGGTGAATAAGAAGATCCTACTTCACAAACTTGAGGAATAGAGGGGGTATTACTAGCCGACCAATAATCATTAACAAGAGAAGGCACAATATGAGAAGACCCTGATGGGACCAAGGCAAAGGTTGCAGTACCCAACAAACTCGCAGATCCTAATTAATTGCGAGTATTTACAATACATTTATTTGAGTAAAAACTGAGTATATGAAGACTTGGTATGTGTTTTGAAATTTAATGAGCATGATACTAAAAATTATCATTCAATATCATTGCAAGGAAATGTTATACCTAGGTATGATAAATTTAAGTATTTATGGCTATATCATATTGAAGAGTGTAGATATAAATAAGGATATAACTTCTAAAGTTAAGGGTGGTTGATTAAAATGGAGAAATGTCTTGAGAGTTCTGTGTAATAAGTGGGCTTTAAGGTTTATAAAATCTTCAGTTAGTTTGATAATGTTATATGCATTTGAATGTGGAGTTGTAAAAAGGACGTTCATATTTAAAATGAGTGTGGTAGAAATGAGAATGCTAAGGTGGATGTGTGGTGAAACTAGGAAGGATAAGTTAATGATTGATTTTATTTGAGAAAAATATTAGAGTTAGTATTATTTTTCCTAATCTTATTAAGTTATTTGGCACGTTTGTCATGGTATTTGTATTATATCCTGATATCATTCTTTAGTTACTTGTTTTGCTTGTCTAATTTATGTTTCATCCAGGTAACCGCTGTGGGGATCAATACCGAATGGGGATTGTTAATGTCCAATATTTCAGAGGACAACATTGAAGAAACTCCGTTGCAGGTTTTTTCATTATTCCTTGGGATTTTTGGATGAATTATTTATAAATTTTACAATATTATTGTGTTATAATACAATTCAGTTATTCTCTGAAAAAGGTTCGCTTGAATGGTGTTGCTACTCTAATTGGCGTAGGAGGGCTCATTGTTGCAGCTTTGGTTCTTTCTGTCCTAATGATCAGGTAATTATGTCTTCAAAGTATGCCTGATGTCTGATATGAATAATGCGGGATAAGATTATTTAAAACTTAAGATTTAACCACACTTTTCAGATACTTTACTGGTCATACTGTGAATCCTGATGGAAGTGTTCAGTTTGTCCGGGGGCAGAGTAGTTTGAAAAGTGCAATTAATGGGCTCGTTAAGATTCTGACGGTTGCAGTATGTATCTAACATATTCTCCTGGTTTCTACTTTTGATATTCTTTTTAGTAACATTTAATTGATAAGCAGGTGACGATTGTGGTTGTTGCTGTACCTGAAGGGCTGCCATTGGCTGTTACTTTGGCGTAAGTCCGTTGATTTAGTGCTATTTAAGTAAATTTATGTTGCATTTAATATAGGAAAAGCCTAGCATTCTGCTCTTAGTTATACTTTGATATTTAATGTTTACAGTCTTGCATACTCAATGCAAAAAATGATGGCAGACAAGGCCTTGGTATGTATCATTGTAAATTGTATACATATTAACGGCATTTTTGATCTACATGATTCATTTAAGGTTCTATAACAGGTGCGGAGGCTTTCTTCTTGTGAAACCATGGGATCAGCTACTACAATCTGTAGTGATAAAACTGGAACTCTAACCCTGAATCAGGTGAGTTGGTTGTGTGCGTTTGTTTAGATCACCTGGTTGAGCTTATGTCTAGTTATTGATTTACGCTTCATTAGCTTCTATCGTCTATGAAACATAAATTTTGTCATGATATTGTTTAAGATGACTATCGTGGAGGCACATGTTGGAGGAAGAAAGCTTCTTAATCCAGAGAAAATTGAGGACTTTTCTTCTTCTTTACATTCTCTATTAGTTGAAGGCATTGCACAGAATACAACTGGCAATGTATTTGAGCCAGAGGTTAGCTGTTCCATGTTCTCTTGAACTCTCCTTTTCATTTAATTTAGTTGTAAGTGACGTCTATCCTAGGTAAATCTTATTAAGCTATTAGAAAAGTTTGAAAAGCTTCTTTAAAATTTTCTGAGCTGTTATTTGTTAATTCATTTTTCAATAGGTAACTTGTTCAGATAGTTTCTATCAGCCACTTTTGTGACATTAAATAACTCAAACTATATATAGATTTGTCAGCCAAGTAATGCCTATCTCCAATACTTGACGGAACTTTCATATTTTATTGCATCAATATTCAATTTGCTACAGATGCCTCTTTGTGAATATTTCTTACTCTTTTAGTGCTCGTTATAATGTAAGTTTATAATTTTTCTCTTAGGAGTGATGCAGGATGTTTTAGGGTTTATGTTTCTTAATGCGGCTAGAATGATGCAATGAATGTTGCAAATAAAAAAAAAAAAATCACAAATTAAAATACTAAAAACACAAAAATTCACTTTTTTAGGTTCAAACTAGAAATTAAGGGAATTAGGATGACAATGATAATGCAAATTCAAACTATCCAAAAAATCAGTGGGCAAGTGAATTTTTTTTTCTGTAATTAAAATTTTAGTTATATCAAATTTGAAAATTGTCAGGAACTCTAGTAGAGGTAGATTCATATTAGAAATTTTCAACATTTCTAATTTATAAACGTTAGCTCTAATGTACTATAAAAATTTAAATGGCATTACCTTTCTTACATTTATATTTTGAATTGTTCTTGAGGGCGGCTTCTTAAATTCTACTGCACAATTATCTTATCAGTTGGTTTAAACTCCATATGTCACATTTGAAAGCTTCTTGAAGAAGTTGAAAACTCAACTTGCAATCACTTGAAAACTATTCCATTTCTTACTCGGATGGCACCTCTATTATGTATCCCTCTTCCGCTCATCTCTTTGTTTCTTTATTGTTATGGTTGCTTGAAAACATTGATTTCTTATGTCACGATTCAACCCATAAGCTCAAGTTTATGAGGTGAGAATAGAGGTGTAAACGAGTCGAGTTGAGCTCGAGTCAGGGGGTGTTCGAGCTCGTCCAATACCGAGCTCGAACTCGAGTTGAGCTTGAGCTCGACTCGTGACAATGTAACGAGCTCATTGAGTCGCTCGATTTCCCGATTTCTTGGTTTCCCGCCCAGATTTTCCAGTTTCCCGCCCAGTTTTCCTTCCATTTTTGTTTTTCGACCCTGTTTCCTGCCCGGTTTGAAAGCCTGCTGGTTTGGAAAAGACTAAAAGCATGCATATGTCCTCTAATGTAATTAACGTTGCCGCTTTGGACAGATCCTTTAAATTTTATATAATTTTTTTTTGTAATATTCAACGTTTTGTAATGATTAAAGCTGCAACATATTTATATGTTTATTAAAGCTGCAACATTTTTATTTTGGAATAGTTTTAAATTTTATATAATTTTGTTGGAAATTTTTATTGTTTTAGCAATGATTAAATTTTATATAATTTTTAGTTGAAATATTAGTAAAAAACTTTCACTGTTTTAATTTTTAAATATTAATAATAAAAAAATATTAATTCGAGCCGACTCGCGAGCCAAGCTATTCAAGCTCGAACTCGACTCGTGAGTTTAATAAGCTCGGCTCACGAGCCTATAAACGAGTCTAGCTTGAGACGGCTCGACTCACTTATACCCCTAGGTGAGAATAAACGGTCGGACAAATATCACAATCCTTTCAATAATAATAATTACTCAACAGATTAATATCTAAACATAACTGAAGAGAGACTTAAAAAACAATTTTTCATTCTAAACGTATGATAAAATGATTCTTACCTATTTTCATTTTATCCTCTTCTTTTATACAAGGACATTTTTTTATTAGCCATTTAATCTACAAGAGATTTACCTGAAAAATTTTAATTTAACAATTTGAATTTTTTCATAATAAACTTAGTGATCAATTATAATTTATAGTAAACAATTAAACATGCATATAAGCAGTTATGCAGTTGTTTTATTTATCAAATTTTTTATTTGACATACACAAATATTTAATATAAATATAGATAATTTTTTTTTTTAAATTTATTTATTATTTGAGCACTATCTGTATTTTGTACCAATGAAGGTACAATAATTTTCATTTAACGTGTACGGATATATTACGTCCCGAGCCAATACCATAAGAGAGTAAACTTCTATATTTGCATACATATACCTTTTTCCTTTTAATACTTTCTATTTAAATATTATGACTCATTATATTTCTTTATATATTATGCTTATATATATATATATATATATATTACCAAATTTTCTTGGATAATATTTAGCTTAATTATGATTTATGATTTGTCACATTGTAACAATTAAATTCCTCTCTTGCCCAAAATAAAAATATTGGCATTAAATATTATTACTATTAATCCTATGACTTCGAACGTTGTGAAATTAACATCGTATGTATTAGGCTTCTTTAAAGATAACGTCGAATGCATCAAATATTGCTTAAACACCACCGAAGGTCTTTAAATAATTAAGATATTTTATTTATTTATTTAGATATTTTATTATAATATAGAAAATGATTAAAAGAAGGTTTATAATATTCATATTAATTACTTTAGATTTTCTTCTTCCTAGTCGAATTGAGACTATCACCAACTGGAATTCTTCCTATTAAGCAATTATAAACTACTGTTTCAATTAAAAGAAAAAAGTTTATACATTTTTTTTCTAAATTTGAAAAAAGAGAAAATTAAATCACTTATACTTGTCGTCAGAAATGGATACCCACAAACCCATATCTCTTTCCTCTTGCTGAGCATAGATATATTGACAACCCTCAACGGTAATAACTCTCCTTAAATTTTCTCTTTTACAATATCTCTCGCTCTTGCAATTTCTTCTCTTCCTCTCGGTCACTACCTTTTCTACTCCTTTCGTTTGTGCATTTCACTGGAGGGTGCAAAATCAGCTTATCCCTTGCGAGGAGTCATGTATCTTCATGTACGTTTGCAATGCTTTGCTTGGTTGGCTTGCCTGTCCATTCAATTTCTCATTCAGCCAATCGCTTGCTCGCCTGCTCGTGCTATGCTCTACTGCTCTCTTCCACTCGGCTCGCTCGAGCTATGCCTGTTTCTTCTTCTTGAATACACTGCTACTTGACTGGTTTGATTAAACCGGTCTAGTTAGAATAACTTTAACATCTTGTCTCTTTTATTGTTTCTTCATGAGGTAGTTGTGTCACACCCCACGTCGACCTTCTACCAATCGATGTAGGATGCAACAGAGGAAAACATATGATTCCTCTAACATCCAGAACTTATAAACCTTCGAATATTATGATACATCAGGGGCCCACACCTTGTGGGACCCCTGGAAGCTATTATTCATTATGTGAAGATGAATCAAGGAGAAGCTGTTTAATTGCTTAAGAATGTTTCTTAAATCATATTTTAATTATTTAGGAAGGTTTCCTAAATTATGTTTAATTATTTAGGAAGGTTTCTTAAATTATGTTATTGTATTCTAGGGCTATTTAAGGGGGAATTTTCCAGGATTTTAGGATCATGCTATGACAAAGTTTTGTTTTTACTGTATTTCTTTTCTTTGAGGGCTTCCTACTGGTGCCATTAGGTGAGCAGATCTACCTTTCGAATTGTAGATCACTTGCATCTTATTTTATCTTATTGAAGTATTAATACAAAATCAGCCGTCGTTTTGATTTTACTGTAGTTTTTCTATTTGTTGTTTGTTGTTTTTTTCCTTCCAAGGCATATCAAATTGGTATCGAAGCAATTTCTTGGGACCGATGTTTGGAAAAAGAGTTGAGGCATTGGAAGAAAGGTTGGAGGGGGAGTAGGGCAGTTACAAACTGATATGAGATCGTTGAATGAGCACCTTTCAACGATTGAATGAAGGTTTGGAAATTTCGAGGATGGTGAAACATATGTTAAAGAGTCAAGCTAAGATGACTTTGTCGGAAATTAGGGGAAATCACGAAAATGATATGCCAAGAGAAGATCAGAGAGTTGTACCAAGCAAGATTGATGGGGATGAAATGATAAAGACTGTTGGTCTTAGCGTAGAGAAAGATTCAACTAAAGTTTCCTTGGATGTTGATGGTAAAACTGCATCAGCAGAACTTGATTCACCTGCGAATCTCCCAAAAGAAAATAAAAATGGCATTGAAGATTGCAAGCATCAAGACTTTATAAGCCAAGATAATGAAGAGACTTTAGAGAAAACTAAAAATTATGTACAAACTGATTCTTTTTATTCTTCAAGTTCACATAAAGTCTTGGTGGGTAAGCTGAGTGCATAACAAAAGAAAGTTATCCAATCTATTAAGGGGTTTAAGGGTAATGCATTTGTTTTAAAAATAATAGAACATTCTTCTACTATTGGAGATTTTGTTAATTCAGAATGCAAAATCAAGTCAGTGACTGTGATGCTGACACGATTTTTGAGAGATTCTTCACAAAAGAGAAATGGAAAGAAAAATATCTGTATTGCTTCACATAAACAAACTGTTGATAGAATTTTAAGCAGCAAACATGCTTAGTAGTTCCTCGTGGATCCAACAGGAAATGCTTTCCAAGATTACAATTATTCGCCAATTTTCTTTTGCAACTGGAAAAATATTCTCTAGCAACAATTTCCTTCGTTCCACCTTGAGGATAAGGTGACTATTTGGGAGGGGAGTATTGATACGTCAGGTTGTGCCCATCTTGTGGGACTCAGGGAAGCTATTATTCATTATGTGAGGAGGAATCAAGGATAAGCTATTTAATTATTTAAGAATATTTTTTATATCATGTTTAGTTGTTTAGGAATGTTTCCTAAATTATATTTAATTATTTAGGAAGGTTTCTTAAATTTTGTTATTGTGTTCTAGGGCTATTTAAGGGGGAGTTGTCTAGGGTTTTAGGATCATGCTATGACTGAGTTTTGGTTTTGCTTTAGTTCTTTTCTTTGAGGGCTTCCTAGCAGTGTCTAGGTTGATTGGGAGAGCCGATCTACCTCTCAAATTATAGATCACATGTATCTTATTTTGTATCAATACTTCAATAAGAGAGGTAGATTGGCTCTCCCAATCAACCTAGACATCACTAGGAAGCCCTCAAAGAAAGGGGACTATCAGGTAAGGATCTAGAAGAGAGTATAATATCAAATGGACAAGGGAGAAGAGTGGTGGCAGTAGGATAGAATTAGTCCTACACGAGGGAGAAACTTTTTGAACATCTAAATTATATGATCAATGCCTTTGATTGCTTCTATTGCCATCATTGTTATGGGTGCCTATATGCGTTTTTTATGTTTTTTTTACATATTTTATGTTCTCTTTGTTCTGTCATGATAATCACTTTATTTTCTCTCTTATTCGAAACTTTATGTATGTAAAGAGGACAATATCCTAAACTCTTTTTATCTCATCCTAATTGGTTTAGTGTATGACAATGCTTTTATATAAAGAAAGACTACACAATCTCGTATTTGTCATAAGTTTCCTGTTTCTCCAAATTTTTAAATATATCTATAATCTAACCATTCGTAAAATGTACCCATGTATTTAGGATGGAGAGCCTGTTGAAGTTACTGGTTCACCCACTGAGAAGGCAATACTTTCTTGGGGAGTCAAGGTAAGTGGCATGCTATAGTTAACCTTTTGCGGCATTTTTGTATTTTCTGTTGACTGATTATTTCTGATGTTCTATAGCTGGGAATGAAGTTTGGTGATGTAAGATCGAGATCTACAATTCTTCATGTCTCTCCTTTTAACTCAGTGAACAAACGAGGAGGCGTTGCAGTACTGGTGATAATCATGTTTATATTATCATCTTTTTATTCTTATTTATCTTAATTTTAGAATGTTCCTCTATTCAGCTTTATGTTGTGATCTTCTTTTTTATTTTAACTGTTTCAAAAATCTTTCTTTTGCTTTTGATTAAGACTAAATCATAGTTTGACACGGTGTTTTGGAAACACTTAATTCCGTGCTATCTTTCGACCTTTGTAAACTATGTTGATTAGATCCTTCCTATTAATAGCATTTCAGGAAATATTAAAAAAAAAAGGTTACGTTATAGTTAAATATCATTTTGGTTGACTTCCAGCTAAAAAGTTTGTTTTTATCATTTTTAAAATATGCAGCCTATTGACTACATCTCTAACCTTCCTTCCAATGTCACTGACTGGCCCAAGTACTTTGAATATAAAGCACGGAACAAACAGTTGTATAATAGTTAAACTTATTTCAAACCACAGTAAAAAAAAATCTAATAAACTATCATCCAAATTTTCAAAGAGCCATTAATTGTTCATCACAATTTAAAACATATATAATTCAATTATAATCCAATTTTGAAAAGCATTTAACGAGAATCAAATGCATAGGATCTTTGCATACCTACTTTCATTTACTATTCTTGAATATACCAAACTGCTTTTCTTTTAGCAATCTAATCTATATGAGCTTTACCTAAAGTACTTCATTTAATGGGTTGAGTTTGAATTATCAAACTCACTGGTTAGTTACAGCTCTATAATATAACAATAAATAAAATAATATGCATGCGAGTCATCCTAAGTAATCATTAAACCTTTTATTTAAGGAATTTAAACATGTGCTATGGTAAGATTAAAATATCATTTTACAAAAAATATGATTTTATATTGTATTTGCCAAATTCTAACTTTTAATATAATATTCATTTAAAGGTCACCGTTTAAAATTTGCACCGATTAAGGCACAATTATTTTCATTTTCATTTCCTTTTGCATCGATTTCTATTTTTTGTGCATCGGTGTATTGCTTCTTCTGACAATGTTGTAAGGGGGTGAACTCCATTTAACATGCATATATATTTCTTTTTAGGGGGATTTACATCCATACCACTTTATATCATGCTATTTACATATCTAAAATCTAAAACTTTAATATTTCATGTCTATCCCCCATAAACAACTTGAATATCAAATATTCCACTCTTATATTTCATTCACTACGACCCTATAAATTTTAATATTTCATTCCTTGCACCCATATTTGTTTTATGGGTGATAGGCATGAAATATTAAAATTTAAGGTGTTGGTATGTAATTCCCCCTTCTTTTTAATATCTTTCTTTTTATTATCCTATTTTATTTTTACATTTAAGTTTGTACATTCATGAGTTTCAATAAGATGCTTTAGTATTTAATTTTTATTACAATATAATAAAGGTCATTTTAATATTTTCTTCCATGTAATTTTGTATTACTAACATTATCAATTATGCATACAATAAACCATATAAACCAATGCATAAAATTAGAGAAAAATTGCAACGGTTATAAAATAGAAATGTTATCACTCACCTGAATTTCTTTTTGAAGATCAATTCTTTCACTTCAATGTTACTTCAATCCTTAGTTAATTCTTCCTTAATTCACAACTTATGTATTATAGACACATTCATATCAATTTAGTTATTTAATCCAGAACTACATTTATATTTACATTTTCTAATTAAATTAATAATAATCAAAATAATTAAATTTGAGTTGAACTCTTACCATAGTTATAAAGAAGGGAATTTCTCTTCAACTCCCCTTGCAGGGGTCTGTTCCAAGCAAGAAAAATCTATCGTTGAAGTTTGCTCTTCAAACTGCAACCTGCATTCCTTAGGAGCTGGGCTTTGTAGTGATCGTCATTAACCTTGGGTCGAAAGGCTTCCAGTGTATGATGCTAGAGACAGGACGCCTACTGTATGACTGATAGAGCTGAGATAGAGACCCCTTCGAAATTTGCTTTGTTTCTTACCACCCATAGATGCCACAGATGAAAATAGGTTGAACAACTGAACCCATATGCCGACGGAGATGGATGAAAAAAGTCCTTTGATCGGGCTAATTGAACTAGGGCCATTGAGAGATTGAGAGAATGAATTGCCTTTCCAGAAATAGCTTATGTCATATCGTGCTATGAATGAAAGAGGTCCCTACCCTCATGCCTAACCCCAAAAAACCTGTCAATTTGAAATACGAGCTTTCAGATGTGCTACTTTTGGGGAGAAGATGGGATCTGCTCGACCATAACATAAGGCGCTAGGATGAGATTCACATTGCTAGCCTAGAGGCTGATCTATGGGATTTTTCCCTTGTGTTTGACTATAGCTTAATCCCTGAATCTAGAGCTGTTTGGCCTTCCAACCCAATATTCTATCGAAAGATAGGGAAGAACCAATCCTCGGTAGAGGCTGCTCCAGAGAAGGTTGCAGTTGAGGATGAAGCTTCCTTTTAAGCAGAACCTCAAAATTGATTTTAGCTTCTTTAGAGATTTCTCTGGATGAAAGAAAGTAAGCCGAGGGTAGTAGGTTACAAAATCCGATTTTTGTCTTCTTTCAAAAGATTTTTCATGAAAGAGTAAGGCAACTCCATTCAACAGGGCTCTTCTCTTTCTTCGTTGCCTCGAAATTCTGACACTCTTGCTTATTCGGTCCTGTTCCACATTAGAGCACTTGCTTTCATTGCCTACCTTAACTACATTTTTAGTTTTCTTATTGTCCAAAGTAACATCAAATAGCATCAAACGGTGTTGAAGTCAATGTCGGAAGTGTCACACGTCATCAAAGGCAATATCAAAAGTGTCAAATGTCATTAAAGAAACGCCGAAGGTCTGATTTACCTCTTCTCTCTCTCTCTCTGTTTCTCTGTCTCCTCTCTCTCTCTCTCTGTCTTTTCGTTGAACAAGATCACATAGATCGATCCTTCTTCTTCTTCTTTCTTATTGAACAAAATCTCCAAACCGATTAAGTTGAACAAAATCACGTTTCATCCTCTTTAATTTGAACGGAGCCGCACGTTCTTCGTCCTCTATCTCTGTAGAATAACGAATGGTCTCTCTTCAACTTTGTCGAACAGTGGACGAAACCGCACAAACTCACTCGTACTCTTCTTCATTTTCTCTTTGTTTTTATCGAACGTTGAATGAGATAATATGACCACACGAAAGCTCCCCTAATTCCTCTATGTTGAATTGAGTCGCATAGTCATCACCTTATCTTTCTCTCTCTCTCTCTCTCTCTCTCTCTCTTTTTTCGTTGCTCAAGATACGAAAATTGTATACGCTTGTGTTCGCTGCGTCCATGCACGCATGAGGAGTTCCGTCTGTTCATTCGCTCTCACTCGCTTGTTCCCATTCTAAAATCGATATTTATACCACATCTCCTACTCTCTAAATGGTGGAAGGGCACAAATTCCTTGTTGTCCTCCCCACCTCTCTGCACCACATCCTTTGTATTTACAATTAGAAGGTTCTTTCCTTTAGGTTGATAAAACTAATTTCCTTTCGTTCTTTTACCCATTTTCTGCTATTGTTACTGTGAATTTCCTTGAATCTGTTGTGGACCACGTGTTTTTTGTTATGTTATCTTCTTGCATTTCTTCTATGTTGTTTTATCTTCTTTTGTTTTAATTTTTATTTTATGGGGATAGAATGCATTGGGCCTATTGTGTGACAGAAAAGTGTCTCTCAAACTTAAGAGAAAGTTCTATAAGATGGTGGTGAGACCTGCAATATTTATGGAGAAGAATGTTGGCCATTAAAGAGAAACATAACATTAAGTTAAGTGTTGCAGAAATGAGGATGCTCATGTGGATGAGTGGCAATCTTAGGGATAGAATGTGAAACAAGTATATATGTTAAAAGGTTGGAGTAGCTCCAGTGGCAGATAAGACTAGAGAGAGTTGCCTTAGATGGTTTGGTCACATAAAATTTCGGCCTTCCGATGACCTGGTTAGGAGTATAGATGTATTAGATTTGGTCTACGTTAAGAAAGTAGAGGTAGATCTAAAAAACTTGTTTAGAAAGTATTGGAATTGATCATCTTTTTATTAGATTTAAATGAGAATCTGACTCTTAACAAAACACAATGAAGAAAAAATATTCGTGTAGTCAACCCCATGTAGTGAGATAAAGATTTGAGGTTGTTGTTATTGTTGTTGTTGTTGGGGATAGATCTCTGGTTTTGCATTCTACTTAACCTTAATGTTCTTCTCTTTTAATTGGTACAGTCGGGCTCTGAAGTTCATTTGCATTGGAAGGGAGCTGCTGAGATAATTTTAGCCTCATGCACGAGTATGATGGATTCAGAGGGTCAGCTGGTGGGAATGACAGAAGATAAGGTTATACTCTTTTTCGTGTTCTTTGTATTCTTATCCTGTGCTTCACCATTTTTATCAAGTCATGTGCTTTTTGATTTCTACTTTTTTTCTTCAAGCAGCTTCTGAATGTTGTATTTGCAGATGGATGCTTTTAAAAAGTGTATTGAAGATATGACATCTGTTAGCCTCCGCTGTGTTGCTTTTGCATACAATTTATATGACATGAAAAATGTGCCCGGTGAAGAAGCGAGAGGCGACTGGATGTTACCAGACAACAATTTAGTTCTACTTGGCATTGTAGGGATGAAGGTCTGTGGCTTATCTATTCAAGTGTTTCCAATTTAAATATTCCCGAGTTACCCAATGCATATTTTTTTTAGTAAGGCTGGTAAGCAACATTTGATGACACATTAATTGGGCAAACTACATTGATTCTTCACTATCACTATGTATGATAGCTTAGTAATGTGGACCCCTATCACTATCATTATCTCTTTAGATGTTCTTTTGGGAAAGTATGCTTTATTATTGTTTTACGGATTGTTTTCTATGCTCAATTATATGTATATTTTCTTTGATTATTGTTCAGGCGTCATATTTAGTTGGTATCAAGTGTGGCATTTACCAAATTCTTGTTCTTGAATCTATCTTTTATGTGGTGTGACTATCTTCATAGATATTTTGCATATTATCCCCTCGGTTGCAGAAGAATGTGGCATATCCTAGCAGATTATGTAAACTAGAAAGAATGTACTAATGGGTTTAGTTAGCTACTTCATTTGTGTAAGACCGGAGCATCTATAATGGATTTGTTTTCGTTTTTGTAGTTTTAAAGCTAGAATAAATGGTAAAGTGGTTTTGCGTTTATATAATATACCTAGATTGAATATTAGAAGTCATATTCTTAACACTATACAGTTCTGATAGTCAGGCTACGCAAAATTGGCCATGCTTATGCAAAAATAAGCTTGCTTTATATGTGAATGTGTTTGCATTTGAAATTTTACACAATCATCCGTCTTAACTCCACGTGCAATTGCATGCGCGGACATGTTTGGACGTTTTGAGCTCTGATATATTAGATGTTCTCAATTTATGAGTTCATTTATCATTCTTTTGATTTCATCATGTAGCATGAATTTAAACATATTCTACTTGTTCCTGGTACATTTTTTATTTGTTGTCATTGGCAAGAAATAATTTACTTTTGCATTTCTTTTTGGTCCACTTTCTAAAGATTAACATCATTATCTGTGGTATAGCTGGTGAAATTTATCATAATTTTAATTGGATTAATTCACATAAAAATCAATTTGTGTAATTATGTTATACATTCTTTTTATTTCTACAAGCAACCCGCTTGAGCACTTCTGGAACAATACTCCTGTGTTTTAAGTCGCAAAAATTTTGGAAGGTTATTAGTGCAAATTTTCCGTCCTGTATCTTTTGCCTTGTATATGCTTTTTTTTTCTGTTCTCATGTTTGCACTTATACATTCATTAATTTGTAGGATCCTTGTAGGCCTGGTGTCAGAGATGCGGTGGAGCAATGCAGTAGAGCCGGTGTCAAGGTAAATTGGCCAACATATATTAGGAAATTGATCAACTTTAGCATTGCTAGTTTTGTACTTGATGAATAGAAGCTTTCTTTGTTGTTTGCTATCTGCAATAAAATAATTGCTTATGTATTTTTCCTGATGAAAGGTGTTAATTACCATTTAAGTCCCTTATTTTTAGGCCATATTATGCCTCCTATATCCTCATTTTTAAAAACCCTTCACTTTGATCCTGAAACATTTGGGTCACAAATCACAGAGTTCGATCTATTAACATAACAATCAACTCAGAAAAACTGAAATAGAAAGACATAAATACACCTCTATTTTTCCTCCATTTCCTATCTTTTCTTCTTGATTGAAAAATTGCATCTCTTCTGCTCCAAATGCGCCGTCTCCTGCAATTTCATCTACTCCGGCCACTCCAACACATCTTGCTATTAAAACTCTGTTTTCTTCCTCATCTCCCACCATCTCTCTCCTCTGTTCTATTTCCTCTTCTTCTTTATTGTCAGTGGAGTGGGCAACTTAACCTCAACTACAATCATGAACTCAAGCTTGGAATCTCTAAGTCTCATTTCTAAGAAATCTGTTTTTGAGATTGAGAGTTCTCCCCATAACTCCATTGCTGAGTGATGTATCTTGTACAGATCATTTGTGAATGATCTAACCTAGAACAAGTAGAAATTGTCATTTTGGTTTTCATTGGAGTCTCATGGAAATCTGTGGCTACAGTGCCCTTTTTATTATTGGTCAATGGGGCCTGTTTTGACCCAAAGTTCAGCTTCACCATTCTGCGCTAGGTAAAAAAAAAAAAAAAAAAAGGATGGGGCTGCAATGCAGATTTTTTGATGACCAAGTGCCATTGATGAAATATATAAGGTGCTACGTTTTTGTGGTTAAGAGCACTCTTTTTTCTCGGTTGATGCTTACAGTTGTGTCTTAAGATGTCCCAAATTCAACCTATTGCATACATACCTATTCTCTTAACCTTCACAATGGCAACCTGCACATCACGGGCTTACACCTCGGCAACATAGAACGTAATGAAAGGATATTAAGACCTATTTAGTATTCACAAAGAAAAAAATTCATATACAAACAATATAAACAAAATATATCTATAAGAGAAAACAACAAAAGAAAACCAAACTTTCATTTTATTATCATAAATTTATATAATAGTACATTATCAAAATAGAATTACTGCATGCAAAATAAATATGAAATAATAACATAAATAAACTACCCAACTCTTGAAAGAAAACACATAAATGAACTACTTCAAAATTTACAATTTTCAAAGATATGGTATGATTGGTAGATCTGCTCTTGTGGTGATGACCCTCAAAGTATTTCAGTAGAACCTACTATAAAAAGAGACAACAACGAGTGAGTTTGATAAACCAAAATCAACATTACCGGTCCATACGGGACCGGCTTACGGACGAAACTAGCGGAAGTTCCGCCTCCTGTACGAGTCGCGCAAGCCGCCAGGTCTGAAAGAGTTGTTTAGGAAGGTTTTTTGAGTGAGTTAGGAGGGAAATTTGAATGTAGGGGCTGCTTAGAGATTTCCTTTTTGATTGTATGCATTAAATAGTTTGTTTTCCTAGGATTAGAGCATCTTGAATTTGGCTTAAATTTGAGATATCTTAGGTTTCTTTTGGGCTCTAACGGCGTCTAGAGATTTGGGAGAGATAGATCATACTCTCAAATAGGGGATCAATTGTATCTTTCTTTATTTCTTCTGCTAGTGTGATTTCTTCAATAAAAATTAGTGTTTTGTTGATTTTCCATTGGATTTGTGGACATTTTGCTATTTTTCATCTCTATTGATAGGATTTACTTGAAATCTTCAATTGTTTCATATCAATTTGATATCAATGCAAATTTTGGGACCTTTTGGGGGTTATTTCTATGAATTTCAGCGTCTGTTTTTGGTCCGGAGGAAGAGGGATTTTCTATTTTTTGGAATCGAGATTCAGATTTTTAGTCCAACAAAAATTCGGGTATTGATGACGGCCAAGAAAGTGGATGCATTGGAGGAATGCCTTGAAAGGGGATCAGACAAATGAAATATGAAATTTCAGATTTAAAGAAAGAAATTTCAGCATCCATGATAATTTGAAAATTTTCATCCTGTGGGAGATGTTGAAGAAAGTGGTCGAGGGCCAAAACAAAAAAAAATGTCTTCAGAGGTGAGGGAAGTCATCGACAACCAGGAATGTGGAGAAAGTTCTAAGCCAATAAGTCAAAGGGAAGATCATGAGGTGGATACTAAAAAAAGAGAAGAGAGAATACCTCCCCTAGAGCCTATTCTTTGGGAATAACCAGGTATAGGGTATGGGGAGAGGCGTGAGGAGGTAGGGCAAGAACAAAGGGGTGATGAATTTGAGAGGAAATAGGTAGATTTTGAAAGAAAAAGAAGAAATTATGACTGAAGGGTGGCTGAATTTGAAAGGAGGGGTTTATTATGATCCAAGGGGTGTTGAATTTGAAAGGAGGTGGGAAGTTGATGAAAGGTTTGAGTATGAGTGTAGAAGGGATGATTGAGACACTTCGGGAGAACCCCCCCTTGGGGATGGAAAATTATGGAGGGAATAGAGGGAATGGAGGCGATCCGAGGGTGAGGAAACTGAAGATGCCAATCTTTGATGGGGAGGATGCGCATGAGTGGATCTACAAGGTTGAAAGCTATTTTTCCATCAATGGGTTGATGGAGGAGGAGATACTAACAACAGATGGCTTATGTTTGGAAGGGAAGACTTTGGCTTGGTACCAATGGAGGGACATGCGATGACCCATACAGAGTTGGAGGGAGTTCAAGGATTGTTTGGTAGAACGTTTTCAAACCTGTAGGGGAGGAGACTTCTACGAGCAGTTCTTCGCCTTGACACACATGCCCCATGCATCGAAAGGCAAGGAAATCATAGTAGGATGTTCAGTGATAGAGTACCGGGAGAGGTTCAAGTACCTTGGTAGCTGATTGGACCGCCTTTCTGAGACACTATTATTGGGGAACTTCATGAAGGGACTGAAACTAGAGATCCGAGCAACGATTAGAGTGATGAGGCCTCGTGACTTGGGAGAGACTATGGAGCTAACTCAGTTGGTGGAGGATTAGAGGCACCTGGAGAGAGGAACAGGAGGCATCAACTCAGTAGGCTTGTACAGGATGAACACCATTGTATTGGCATCCACGGAGCCAACACCGGATACTCTTCGGGAAACTTCGAAGGAAAAGACTGCAGGAGGAAGACTTGGGGACAACTTCAAGAATCTCAAAAAAATAGAATTACTGGAGAAGATTACGAAGGGGTTCTGTTTCAGATGTGATGAGATGTATACGCCGGGGCATAGGTGTAAGGACCGAGCTCTTTAGGTTCTTACCATTTGTGATGATGAGGGAATGAAAGAGGGTGTCATCTTTCGATCTTGTGGTGGACAAGGTGAGTTTTTGGGAGGGGAGTATTGTTACACCGGTCCATTGGACTGGTCCAGTCAGTCCATACGAGACCGGCTTACGGACAAAACAGGCGAAAGTTCTGCCTCTTGTACGAGTCGCGCAAGTCGCCAGGTCTGAAAGAGTTGTTTAGCAATGTTTTTTGAGGGAGTTGGGAGGAAAATTTGAATGTAGGGACTGTTTAGAGATTTACTTTTTGATTGTATGCATTAAATAGTTTGTTTTTCCTAGGGTCATGGCATCTTGAATTTGGCTGAAATTTGAGATATCTTGGGTTTCTTTTGGGCTCTAGCGACGTCTAGAGATTTGGGAGAGATATATCCTTGCAAATAGAGGATCAATTGTATTTTGTTTTATTTCTTCCGTTAGTTTGATTTCTTCAATAAAAATTACTGTTTTGTTGATTTTCCATTTGATTTGTGGAGCATTTTGTTGTTTTTCGTCTCTATTGATAGAATTTACTTGAAATCTTCAAGTGTTTCATATCAGTAACTTTTATCTATTAATGCACAAACTGTAAAGGAATGAGACATGTAGTATGACCAATCAAATAGATAGGTATAACACATGATAATGAACAAATCAATATAATAATGTCATATGTCATGGTTCCTATGACGGGATCTAGCATGCTAATGTTACAATGTATGTGTCAAATTGCTACTAATGCAATATCACTTCAATGTTCACGTATGCAATCATGTTATGTATCATCATATCTTAATATGCCTTATTAGTCATTCATCATTTTCAACTCATGATTATTTATATATTATCTATAGTTGATTTAGTCAAAAACCTTGCACCTAGAAAGTAAACGCTAACTCTAAGAAAATTTAATGATTTTTTATAGAGTTATCACTCTGTGGGCCCGTCGGCCTCGTTAGCCAATATCCAATAGGGTTCCACTGATCTACATACCATTACATGCTGCAAATAGTTTCTATATTTTTCATAAGCACTTTTTAAAAGTTGTTATATTTTCAATATGATGATTGCTATTTCATATTAAGATATGATTTGCAATGATGACATTTATTGCATTCAATAGGAGTGCATACATTAAAATAGGTTTATATTAGGGGTCAATATATATGAGTTTATGCAGTAATAAGTCAAGATAAATCTACTTATGCAACGAATTGTTCCATTATGAGCATAAAAAGATCTTTATGAGCGTATGCATATAATAAAAATTTTTACAATAATGATATAATTGACAATTTAATCAAATTATCAAAGAGCCTAATATAAATAACACAAATTATGTTCGTAACAAAGAAGGTATATTTATTCAATAATAAGTAACAATTACTTACTGCAGTTGGCACGAATTCCAAATTAAATTGCCTGCTCCATTCCACCAATCGAAGGCCCTACAAGAAGCAAAATTAAATAATTATAAGCTTGCATTCAAGACATTAACATTGTTATCCAAGTTGATCTCAGCCTTAAATAAGATTGTAGAGGAAAATAGATGTGAGAAAATTTAGTAGGTTTTATGATAGAGAAGGTTTTCTCACTGTTGGCTTTCAGTCAAAGGAGAATAAAGGTGAAGGACCTCTCTGACGATGGCGGTGAGAGACAAAGCTGAAGAGGAAGGAGAGAGAAGAGGTTCAATGGCTGGGGCTTCAGAAGAAGGAAGAGGATGCTCGGTGGATGCGAGGAGGGAAAATTGAGAGAAAAGAGAGAGGATGATTTGGCAGCTATTGAGAAGGGGAATATGATGCCCTAGGTTCTCCTTTAATCTTCAATGACGAGTGAAGACAATCGAGGCAGTAGAGACATGGGGTGGGAAAATCTTGTGATTCTCACGATTTGAGAGATAGTTGCGAGCTAGAGATGTCATTTGATTTCTCATGTGCGAAGGAGGGGTGGGGCGGTTCGTTTGGTGCTTGCTTTGGCGGATAGAACGCCTGGCCCATTTTGGTCCGAGCTTATAACACAACCATTGTTATTTCTTTTGCAACTAGAGATTTCCTGATTGATCCTTGTGAACTATTGCGTGTATATAATTTAGTCTTATTTCTTTAAAATTTTTTATCATGTTTTATTTAGCTGAAGTTTCTATTGTTCTTTTAGAGGTAAGCGCTACCATTTTTTGAAGGACACAATTATGAGCTGATTCGTGTTTCTTGATAGTGCAAGAAAACATCTTCGTCAAGCCTACATGAACTCTTTTTATCAATCCTTCTTAGGCTTTTATGTTTTTCTTTTTTTGTTCTTTTGTTTATCCGTGGTGTGGTGTTGTCTACTGAGAAAGATGTGATATTTATTGGTGTAAATGGGTGATTAAAGAAGTTACTTTACTAATGCTATGAACCATTTTATTTTTGCATTTTGAAGGGTAATGATCAAGGATATTAGCATCGTTCATAACACGGCACACCCAATTCATGGGACTCCCATCATTGCAAGGCTTGGGAATTGGTAGATTTATGCCACCTTGAGTAAACATAGAGAGTCTATTTCTATGATTTGAACTTGTGACTTCCAGTGTCCATTGGGCAAGGCTAACCATTGTGCTTAGAAGGCTTATCTCTTAATTTTGTGGTCATTCATATTCTTCTTGATAAGTTGATCGTAATCTTTACATTTGTTATGACCTAATCTTGATTTTTTGTGATTAATATTTTAATTCAAATTGAGTGCTGATTGTTTGTTTATTTCTTTCTTTATATGTATATATTTAAAAAGTGCTTTTTTTTCTGTGAGATTTTTCTTAATGCTACACTACACTGTTATGAACCAAGTAGGTACGTATGGTCACTGGAGATAACCTTCAGACAGCCAAAGCAATTGCTTTAGAGTGCAGAATTCTTCAATCAGAAGAAGAAGCAATAGAGCCAACTATAATAGAAGGACAAGTTTTCCGTGCCTATTCTGAGAAAGCTAGAGAAGAAATTGCTGAAAAGATAACTGTAAGATCAAATTCAATTTCATCCTTATGATTATCTTGTAAACAATTGCTGAATTTGAATAAATGTGACATAGTTTAAAGAATTCTAACCGAAAGAGAAATTAATATTGTTCGGAAATTGAGTTTGTTAGGTTAGTTATTTTTTTGATATAAACATAAAGAATTTGTCATCGTTTTTTTTTTTTTCATAATTTGGTGCTCATCTTTCATGCATCTTATCCTGAAACCCTTTTAATGTTCTGAGATATATCTCTTGGGAAGGGGTACAAGTTTTCCTACTTTTTTGCTGCCCTTATATTCTGAATTTATTTGATCCACTTTGGCCAATCATTTATTGCTTTTGTGGCGTACAAATGATGTTGTTTATGCTGCATAATAGATTGAAATATAGAGCTTATTTTATTGTTGGAAGCCTTGCGTTGAATTAGAAAGCATTATAGTTCTTTTTTCACCTAATGCTTAATTTCCCTAGGAAGATCCAAACTTTCTGACCTACATAAGATCTTACTGGAGGTTTTGCCTACTCAATGATTTCATTTATCTTGCACTGTGGCAGTTCAAATTTTATGATACTTATTACACATTATATGCCATACTGAAGTTTCAGAGCATTTGAAATAATGTCGGTTTTCTGAAGCTTTGGACAAATGTTGCATTATTAGCCCCCGCTAAGAAATAGTAGTATTGCTGCAGGAGGCTTTATTACTGCAATACATTAATACTTATAAACTAGTGTTTTCTGAACTGTTTCTAGTAATAATACAATGCATGCTTACCTAGAAAACTTTATTTTCCAAAATATTTCCATTTTTTACTTTGTATTGAGCTTTTGCATATTCCTCTTGTAGAAACTAAGTTTCTGGTTGTGATTTTGACCTTGTTATGTTGGATTCTTTTTAATGGTTTGAATTAAGCAGTTTTCTTTGTTTGAACTTTATTTTTTGACTTGGGATTGTCAGGCAGCATTCATATGAAATTTTCTTTTAGGTAATGGGAAGGTCCTCTCCCAATGACAAACTTCTACTTGTACAAGCTTTAAAGAAAAAGGGTCATGTGGTTGCTGTTACTGGAGACGGTACTAATGATGCTCCTGCCTTGAATGAGGTATCACGAATCTATGCATGTTTTTTTTAATTTTTGTATTTTTTGCATTAGTAGTGTCCAAATCACTCATTTTGAGCATGCTGAAGAGAGCAATCAGATTAACCTAATAGAAACAAAACTAACATCACACTCTATCCAAGGAATCACACTGTTTTGAGAATAGCCTCTCAAACTCTATATCCCAGGAATCACCATTTCTGTCATGCACTATTCCTAAAAACAAAACTAACATCACAGTTTACAAAGTAAACTCAAACATACCTGAGGTCTTTAGATCATCTTCTGTTGACAACTAACTAGCCCGACAGGCCCCACCTCATACCGATTCATTCTCCAATTGACACAACCGTTCGTTCCCTCACGTAACTCCCCTTACAACAAAAAACTCTGAAACGAACTGCTTTCCCTCTAAGTCGACATTCACATGCAGAAGCTGGAGCCCCACACTCCCTCTTGTTCTCTGTTGATTGTACGCAGGAGCCCAGACAAAGGATCCTTTCACTCGATCCCCAACCCTCGCACACATGCAACTTCGTCTGCATGCGACCAAACCTATTTGCGCTGCTCGATCATCCACATGCAGGAAGTCGCTTTTGATCGCAACACCAGCCCAGCCTCGTAATCCGATCATGCGTCTCGAATCGCACCTCTGTCTACACACTCACGTGTCACTTTCGGTCCACGCCCAATCCTATGCGAAACTGCACATGTGCGCCCCCTGTTTCTGCCCGCGATTTCACTTTGTTGACTATAAAAAACATAACAGAGAAATTCCGAAGCAATATACATACCTCCGAGCTGGCCCACCTCACACTATCTTCCCAAAATACACAACTCTTCGCTCATGTAACTTCCTCACACGACATAAAATTCCTTGGAATTTTATTCTTTCCATCCATTGGAAACATACACAAGCAGGAAGAAGAAACCGCTCAGCCTTGCCTCTCTGTTCCTCATGTGAAGGGCTGAAGCCCATCTTCCTCCAGCTGCTCATCGACCCTCTAGTGAGACCCGCTTTGGCTTTTGTCGCCTGTGTGAACACTTGATCCGACGCCCTAGGATTCCGTCTTCAACACCCTAGCCTCGCTCATGCCCGATGCCTAAAGCCCCCATCTTACGCCACCTTCGCGTGAGAGATCCAAAGTCACACCCACCTCATCATTCTTCTGTTGGATCGGAAGTAATGGCGAGAATGAGAGCCTGCTCATTGCCAAGGTAGCCATATTTCTTCCTTTTGCGCGCTTCTTTGGCCACATCCCGTAAATCCGCCAAATAGGATTTATAGCAAAAAGAGGGAAACTAAAGATTTTAGTGACCTAAATTTTATTTGGCAAGATTTGTCATCATCTTGCCCAAATATTACATAAATTCTACATCCAAATAGCACGTATGATCAAGCCTTATACACGATCAATTCAGTTTTCTTATCTGCCGTAAAATATCGCCTTTAACATTTTGCCTGCGAAGATATGAAATTCAAATTGCTAGCGATACATAAAACTAATTCCAGTCAATTATATTGGTTCTAATATTTAAAATCATAATTGCTAAAAAAAAATTATTGCAAAATTTAAACGGGCAGTCACTCAATCGAAGATCTCGTGCTGTCGACCTTCATCCCCCATAACTAAGATTTTAAAATAATGTTGTACATTTCCACACTTCTTCCATAAACTAAATATATTTTATCCTTAATTGAGAGTGCTCTTCTAATACGTTAGGAGGGTTAATTAACTGTGAGAGCTTGCGCTCATAGGAAGTACGACTCGGATCTAAATAAACCCTAACACTACTCTCAGGAGAAATCTGGTCAATTTTAAATCCAATCTACCTCACGAAAAATGAGGAACCTTTAAGCTTGCGAGAGCGAGGCTCGCGCCTTATTCTATTCTTCATGAGCGAACATCCCTCTTCTATGTGCTTAAGGAATCATTCCACTTAAAGCTTTGAGCCAACCCTCTTTAGATAAAGATGCTCTCATTTTCATCTTCTAGATGAGAAATCATTGTTATTAGTGCTACGCGGAAGTCTTTGATGGCACCATCTCCTAGGTTTAACCTAGTTTAATGCTAGTTTGTTGTAATAAAAAAGTGCCTATATCATTCAATTTAAGATAACTATAAGATTAACCTAGAATAGATAAGCTAGTACCATGAACATAGATGCAAAATAGTAATATGAAACACAACCACTAATAAAAGCATAAGATTTATGTGGTTCAGTCAAAACTGGCCTACATCCACAGAGCCTCACAAGATGAGGAGGCATAGATAAATCTACCATCAAATATATGGAGTATGAATTGAGAATGATAACAAAATAGATCATATTATCTTCTCATAAAGAAACTAACATTGATGGAGTTCTCACTAAATTCAGAGCTATATTTCTGAAAGAGAAGGCTAAAAATGAAAACTATAATTCATCATACCAACTAAGCACTCAAAGCAAAATTAATCTCCTCCATTTGTTGTGCATATTTGGAAGGGATGTCACAAACTTTATTCCTCAAGAATTCCGATCTCAAGAAGCATGTACACAATCACATAAGCCTCCAAACCACAACTCAATATCACACTTTCTTATGACAAACTCAAAGCTGCTGCTGCCAGATAACTGTCCGATTGTTTGTTTCACAGCAATAATCGATCCAGTCACGTGAAATAGAAATAGGGTTATTATGATATCTACCAAGATGCATTGGTTTGATATAATGCACTACAAAATATCTATTTCTTCTCATGCCTTCAACATAGTGTACCAAACTAATTCACATTAATATTGATTTCTTAGGCTGATATTGGTCTTTCAATGGGATTGATGGGAACTGAGGTTGCAAAAGAAAGCTCTGACATAATTATCCTTGATGACAATTTTACATCAGTTGTGAAGGTTAATTGTGTTTCTCTTTATTTCTTCTTTTGAAACTACATCGAATATAAAGACTGAAATTTTATTATAATGTCGTTTCTAGGTTGTCCGGTGGGGTAGATCAGTGTCTGCAAATATCCAGAAGTTTATCCAGTTCCAGCTCACAGTCAATGTTGCAGCACTTGTGATTAATGTGGTTGCAGCTGTTTCATCTGGTGATGTTCCTCTAAATGCTGTTGAGGTGAGAACACTTGAAGAAACCTCCAAAACAATGTAATTTATACTGAATATACTACCTCAGTTATTCAAATTAATGTTGCCACTGAGCTTTGTTAAAGGTTTTTGATCAAATTATGTAGGGCAGTTTCTGCTGGCCCCTTTAGGTGCACTTGCAAGCAGTTGCCTGCGATCTTTATGATAATCATATTATCTGATATTATGCTACCTTTCTCTTCATAATTTATATTAAAATCTAGAGCAAAGGTTTGAAATATTTTGATGTATTTCAGTTTTAGTGCTTACGTATCACATGTTTTAATAGAAAATTCCAAGTAGTTGTATTGTTACAAGAATTCATCTAGGAGATTATTTCTTTTCCAACCAGCTTTTGTGGGTTAATCTCATCATGGACACTCTTGGAGCGCTTGCATTAGCAACTGAACTACCAACAGACCATCTGATGAAGAGACTACCTGTTGGTCAAAGGTTGGTGTTCGTTATTTCTTTTTCGTTTAGTTTATCCCTTGATACCTACATTAGTAACTTGTGTGGAAGTTACTTCTGAGTAAGCTGTTTTGCATAATTTTCCTGTTGTTCAACCTTGATTTACTATTTCTTAATTCTGTATAGAATTGCACTTATTGCAGTGTTTTTATTTTTCCTATGTTTTCTTTTTTGGGTTCAACTCCTTACAGAGCCTTCAAAATTGTAGCTAAAAAATATTTCTGACTCTTAGAAAAAGAGCATAATAATCCAAAGAGCCTTCCATTTTTCTACTGTTGGAAACTCCAATAGCTTTAGTGATTGTCCTATGCCGCTAAACTGGTTTTTCATGCATAAATTTTTCCATTGAGGATGATGCATACAATAGTATAGATTTTCATGTAAATTAAAGTAAATACAAATATACTACTTTAAATAAATCTAAAAGAAACCAATAATCAAGAGATTGAAATGTAGGAGATATGTTGCGTACAAGAGTCCATCTACGAATGATGACGAACAATATGCAATAGATATTAGATCATTCTTGCAATCAACAGTCATCCAATAACCAAGCAGCTGCACTTATCCTTTGACGAACGGTGCCAGTATGCAGATGAATATACAAACCTATCTATGGTTAACAACAAACGTTTGACAACCAATGATGAATGTGTACAACAGTGCCTCCTTAGGGACACCTACAAGCAACGGTGATTGAGAAGCTACAATCATGAAAGTGTAAAGTACATTCACCTTGTCGAGGCTGAGAGCTTTGTTGACCGAGTATAATTAAAAGTCTTCTATTTAATGACTTCAAAGAGTCTAATAGTCAGATATGAAGGTGACCCGATGTATGGAGGGAACCAATTGATACATCATCAAAGAAAGACTGACGATAATGAGAAATATATTCAAGACTTCCAGCAACTGCAAGTATCTACAAATCGCTGCAATAAACCCGTTGATATGCTACTAGTGGAAGGCCCAAATTACGGCGCTAACGACACGAAGTTAAATGGCTTTATGAATGATTTTGTAGAGTCAAAGAATGAAAACTTGAAGAAAAAATAATAATGAATGATATCTCATTCTATCATCTCTTCAAAAATGCTGGGGCTTCTGAAAATATGCCGCCCCATTCGTGTGAAAGCCCGGAGATCAAGCCCCTCAACTCAATATCCTACTCTCGTAACAAGTTGGGGACAAGGCAATATAACGATATCCGAATCTCCCAATGCATGTGATGTAGAACGGGTAGGAGGATTAGATCTTAAATGTGTCTTGAAGAGCAAATACAGAATCTAAACAGCAGCTTTTGGCATTTCTGAGTGAGAACAGCCATCAATTTTGGTCTAGAATACTGGGACAGAGGTTGGGGATCCTTCCAAGGAGCTGGACAGCAAGTTGTATGGCTCAGGAAATCAGAACAGCAGCCATAAGAGGGCGTTGAACAGCAGCAGGAGAGTTCTGGCAGCAAGCTACACTGATTTTCCCTTGCTGAAATTTCCAGGGCAGCAGCAGTTTTGAAGCGCCAAGTTGCTGGGAAACAATAAACGTTGTTGGAATTCTCTGGCTGCAGTCTTAGAAGGCAGAATACTCAATGTCCAAAGGGGTTTGGGAAGAGATTTGTGGAGGGGAGTCAATATACGGGCCAGGGAAAGTTTCGGCCAGCAGGGAATTATGGTGGAGATTAATTCCCAAAGTAACAGGAGGCGTTTTGGAAAGATCTAAGAGGTGGGAAAGATTTTAGAGGAATTCCAGCAATGTGCCAGGCCGTATGTGGTGATGGGAGGATTAGGAATTTATTTCCTAATCCTGAAATCAGGTTTTAGGATATAAATTAAGGCTATGAGCTCATGTAAATTTCGGTTCCTGAAATTGGGAAATCTTTCCAAAGATAAAGGGTAGGTGTTTAGGAAAGGTTTCTTAATCTAAGCCAAAGGGAAGGGGGCCGGTGGCATTAATGGACCAAGGAGCAATTAATGTGATGAATTAAGGCCACTAGATTTGGAATTTGGAATTAGGAAAGTGAGGTAATAAATCCAATTTGAATTTGAATTTCAAATAGATTTAAATTAAGAGCATTCCTAAAATAGATTTGATAAATTAGGAAAGATTTTGAATTTCAAATAAAGTATTTAGAATTCAAAATTCTGTCCAAAATTTATCCAATTCTAAATTGAGCATGAGGCGTAGAGAGGGAAAATGAGGGGATGAATTAATGAGGCATTCAATGCCAACTTAAATTAATAAACTAAATTTGGCATGAAAAGATTTCATCCCAATTTAATTCAAAATTTAAATAGACTATGAATTAGTAAGTTTCCTAAACTAGGGTTTAGAAATTAGGCAACTATTCAAATTTAAATAAATTTGAATTTGATCATTAGGATAGTTACCTAAAATATGAAAACTAATTTAGGAAAGGCTTGATGGCAAGTGGAGAGGAGAGGAAACCAAGGGGATGGCCGGCGGCTTGTGGCTTGGTCGTGAGAGGTGGTGGAGCTAAGTCTGGTTTGGTGGAAGGCTGAGGTGAGCTTTGGTAGGAGGGGTTATGGGGTGGTGGTTGGTGGTGCGGATGGCCGAAAGGAGGGGGGCGGTGAAGAGTATAAAGATAACGACGAGGAGCAAAAAGAAAGAACAAAAAAAAAAAAAAACAAGAGACAAAATATTAAAGATACAACCGCGAGCCCGGACACATCCTGCGGCTGACGGGTACTACGTTGCCCTTCTCCAAGGGACTTCACGCCACGAGCCCGGACCCATCCTGCGGCTGGTGGAAACTCCAAATCCCTCCCATAGGGATTTCACTAACGTTCTTCCCAAAGAACACAAGTGCAAAAACACAAATTTTATTAATAATCCATCATCCTCATACAAGAGCAAATGCCTCTATATATAGGCCTTAAAAGAAACTAAAAGACAATTTTGCCCCTTGGGCTTACATAAAACAAATCCCTTAAGTAAGGGTAAAAAAAGAAAAATGCATAATTAAATAAAAATTACAATTAATAAAATAAGATAAAATGAAGGGATATCGGCCGTCGATCTTCAGCTCCTCCTCGGATAGGCATGGACGGTTGGATGTCCGCATCAAAATGAGAAAAGGGAGCCTACATCAGAACAACAAGGTGCTTCGCGACAGTCAAATGGCAACGCTACGATTCACCTATAAGCAAAACCAGTGAATAAGTAGTAAAAATCACGGGTCATTAAAGTGCAACGCCATGCCACTGGATATTCAACTTTCGTACAAGTAGACAAAAGTCATTAACAAGGCCCGAAATAAAGCCCCTTACATTCAGCAAAAAATAACCTATGCAATCGACTATATTTAAAAATGCAAAACGCTTATTTGCACTGCATGCAAATATCTTAAAATGCCCCCCTCATACACGCATTATGCTTCCATGACAATATGTTACATATGTATGTGCATAACTTACATAATGTATTACATGAGCATGTCATATGACATCGCTATTGCATAGTAAGGATCTCTTATGTGCATTAGTAGGAAACCAATATAAATCAAGTGTGTTATTTGGCACTATAAATGCATTTCAAAATTCATCCTCTGCATAAGCAGAGGGTTTCACTCAAGTGTGCTATTTGACACCACAATTGCATTTTGAAATTCATATCATGCACACATTCGAATGCATTGCACGAAGTATATCCAATGACATATACTTACGTAGGCTCTGATGAATGTGTTGTAGGTACACATGTGACGTCTGAGAATACCGCGTTGGTTAAGAAATACATTTATATTCAAACTCGATCCTATGTCGGCTAGTAGACTGAGTCAACAAGGTTCAATCAATAAAATAAAATGTTTATAAACTCCCCGGTGATGGCTGCATTGAATGTGAAAATCAACCGAGGGAAATCACATATTTTCAAATTCTCCCAAATGCCCATAAAATCCAAAAATAACAAATGTTAAATATATTTAAAATTAAATATAAATCATCAAACACCTAAAGCACAAAAATCGATCTACCCTCTGCAACAATTTACGGAGGTGGACAAATATGAAAACTAATACAGCTCACAAAGAGCTAATGTCTAGTCGAGGATATCATTAGGATCCATTCTCAATCTGTCTCTTGCCGGTAAGGACTTAACACATCCTCTAACCGATGATTTTGCTATTAAATATCATCACACTGTGGATTTTGCCGCTTAATGACGCCACAGGTAAACGGTTATAACTGAGACCTTTTGAACTGGATGGTTTTCCACGAAATAGCATCATCATATTACGGTCATGGTCTGAGCCCGTATGCTCTCCAATGGAATTAAATCCTTGAGATATGAATCAATATGATATAATCGATATGGAATAAAGCTCTATGTTAGCTAAGGTGGATTCAAATTTGTCCTCTTAGACAAGCATCCACTCCAGGTCTACAAGGTACCCTTAGACAACGCAACTTATGGCTGCTGACAATGATCCTTTTTTCGGGTTGGGTCGACTACCTCCTTTGACTAAGTAGACTAGAGATTGCGATGACCTGAGATGACATAATAATGGGATTTTGATCGGGCTCATCATCACCCCCCCCCCCCCATTCCCCCCCCCACCCCCACCATTCGCTTTAAGTGTAAGATAGTGATATTTTAATTTTATATATCAAAATTTCAAACACCAAACCAATGTTGCTACTATTCGTTGGATATTGCGTATCTACGGGTATGACATATTCATTGATGACTAGCCTTAATCGAAAGTTCTCTCTCGTGATCAGGAGGAGTAATTAACTATAGAGTCTTCCGCTTATGGGAAACCAAAACTCAGTTTATAAAGTCCTCGCAAAATGAGGGCGAAATCTCTGGGTAATATCTTATCTTCAAATCCAATATGCCTTTTGAAAATTTATCCCGGAACTTAATCCTTAAACCCCCCCCCCCTCCCCCCCTCTCGTGATCAGGAGGAGTAGGAGTAATTAACTATAGAGGCTTCTGCTTATAGGAAACCAAAACTCAGTTTATAAAGTCCTCGCAAAATGAGGACGAAATCTCTGGGTAATGTCTTATCTTCAAACCCAATCTGCATTTTGAAAATTTATCCCGGAACTTAATGCTTTAACAACCCCCCCCCCCCCAAAAAAAAAAAAAAAAAAAAAAAAAAAAGCTAAAGGCGCGAATTTTCGTAGAGCACACAATTTTTATCTTCTAAAGAATATTCATGATTTATAGTTTCCTCGATTAGATTAGATTCTAGTAAACATGATTCTGGTGTCAGTGAAGGTTTAACAAGTTTGAGCGTAGAATGAAAAGGTTTCATTTTATGCAATCTAATTAATGGCATGTGTTTACTAGCATATCACTTGTAATATGCCTAAATATTCAAAGATCCAATAAGGCCTCACTAAGGATTCTTAGTAAATTATAACTTAAAATAACCCTAATTTCTTATTAAGATCTACAAAATGCATAATTATGACAAGATAGTCTTGTGGTAAATCATATTTAATCACAAGACTTCAAACCTACCATAATATTCAAATACATTATGGTTAAATATTAAAGTGATTATTCAATTAGTCCCAATACTTCTAGATGGCATATTGTTCTGCAATTCTATGTATCTTATTAGCCCATGTTCTTGTTGTTTTGCTAGCAACCTATATCAACAAGTTTGAGCATATCCTTTCCAAAATCAAATAAGTGATGCTATTTAAAATATTTCATATTATAAATTCATTTTGAAAATATCCTTAGGTTATGCCTTCTATTGAATATAGGTATGTAATTTTGATCTTACTAATATTTATCTTATATTTGTTTAGAATCATGACCTACTCATATTTATTTAAGTTGCATCATTTATTGATTTTTTATCTGACCCAATTAATACGTCCTACTTTTGTTCGATAAGATAGCACAACCATTAGCTGTAATATCAATTTGATGTAGGATGGTTAAGGACAATGAAAAAATATACAAGAATCATAGTCCACATGTAACCAACTATTAAGGTTTGCAAAATTGATTGTTTTAATGTAAAAATAGCAAATAGCCTTTATTCATTTGAAACAATAATTTAATAGTTGTCAAAATCTGAAATTCTATAAGAAAATTAAATAACAAACAAAAATTCCAGCAATAATCGAGTTTACATCATGAAAAGGAATTGAATATGTATCACACATAAAATTTGAATCATGCGCACACACTAGCTATCAAACAAATTAAATAGGAAAAATAATATAAATCACCTAAAATTTAGGCCTCCCGTCAGTGCAAGGAGATTCACCATCTGAAGTACTAATCAACACTGGCAAAATACTTGAAAAGAATATACGTGCAATCAGTACACACATATAAGAATTGAGAAAAAAAATTATAATTGTCTCTATACTCAATGTTCAATTCATTTTACACGCCTTTAGGGGGTCTCATTTATTGCTCTTAATAGACTCAATAAAAAACAGCTCAAAATCTGTTAAGACCTATTCAAATACAACAAGTTTCAATACATTTTTAATGAATTCCAACAGCTTTAAACCTTCCATGGAAAGTCTTGAATTCTTGATTTATAAAGTTCTGAATTCTTTTCTATTCCAAGATAACACAAAAAAGGGGACAAATAAATAATGCCAAACTAAGAAATGACAGCCAAAATCATAAGACAATGAGGCGCTAACAGTGAGATAATTGAATAACAAAGGAAACATATTGATGTGAAACACTAGTATTGATAGTGGGGTGCTGGAGAATAGATGTATGCCAGGAAACTAATATGATAATACTATGTGCATTGTAGAATAATTACTAGTGCAACCTCTTGCAAATGTCTTGTAAGAACATCTATGACTAATGCTAAAAGATATGAGCTTAAAGCTAATCTTTGATGTAATCCAACTGAAATAGAGAAATACTTGATCAAACAACCTTGTGTTTGAACAGAAGTAACAACTCTTGCATACATATCCTTATTGACTTGAATATAAACATTGTTAACTCCTTTCTTTTTTAGAAGTAATAATGCTTAAGTTCAAGTTATTAAGGATATGTATGCAAGAATTGTTGTATTCAAATACACGGTGATTTAATCAAGTATTTTTATATTTTAGTCGTATTGCATCAAGGATCGGCTCTATGCTCCTATCTTTTTTTCTTTAGTAATAGATGTTCTTACTAGACATTTGCTAGACATTTGCAAGAGGGTGTATTTTGGTGCATGCTTTTTGTTTATGATTTGCTTCTTGTTGATAAAACTAAAGAGGGAGTTTAAGGAAAAACTTGAATTATGGAGGGCAACCTTAGAGTCTAAATTTTTTTGTTTGAGTGGATCTAAAACCAAATACATGGAGTGTAATTTTATTAGTAATAGGTCTAGTGGAGGGATTGTGACTATGGACAATCAAGTCATTAAAAAGAGTACACATTTTAGATAGCTTGGGTCTATTGTTCAAAATGATGGTGAAATAGATGGGTATTTTTAAAATTCAAGTTGGTTGAAGTGGAGGAATGCATGGGACCTATTGTGTGATAGAAAAGTACCCCTCAAACTTAAGGGAAAATCCTATAAGATGGTGGTGAGACCTCAAATGCTTTATGGTGTATAATGTTGGCCATTAAAAGAGAAATATAAAATTAAGTTGAGTGTTGCAGAGATGAGGATGTTTAGGTGGATGAGTGGACTTATCTTACAAAGGAAATATGAAATGAGTATATACATGAGAAGGTTGGAGTAGTTCTAGTGGCAGATAAGTTTAGAGAGAGTCGCTTTAGATGGTTTGGTCACATAAAACATCGGCCTTCTGATGACCCAGTTAGGAGATTAGATGTATTAGATCTAGCTTATGTTAAGAGATGTATAGGTAGACCTAAAAAAGTTTGGTTAGAAAGTAATAGAAATGACCCTTATTATATTTAAATGAGAATTTGACTCTTAATAGGACAATGGGAAAAAAATTCATGTAGCCGATGCCTTGTAGTGTGATAAAGGCTTGATATTGTACTATATTTCAATTGCTTTCAAGGATTCCTATATAAAAAATTCATTTCAACATGAAATAGAGCAAAAAAATTTCAATTTGACTTGGACTTCATACATCAATTACACAACCTAGGGTTTTCATAGCTCAAAAATGTAAGTAGTCGCACCAACTCATTCCCTCAATATTATATCAACTTAATTACAGGGTGGAGTTCTTGAAACAAGGAACTATGCGTGATAGTAAACTTACCAATAAATATCACTAAACTTACATTCGCAATGGCACCTTATCACAAAGCACCATCAAATTTATCTTGAGGCAGTGTCTTTAGGTAGAATTGGAATGTGTGATAGACATAATATATTTTGGAATTACTAAACAGATTGATGAGCGATGAATATAATGTAAAGGAAATTGTAATCAATGTGTAAAAATAGAAAGTAAAACTTTAAAGATCTAAATTTAATTAAAGTTTCAAATACTCCGTTATGTTGAAATGTGAATCATCTATCCTCTCCACCCCCTCCCCCTTCTCCCCTTTCTTTTGTTAGAAAAAAGATCAAAGTTGTTTGACATTTTAGACACACCCATGCGTGTCTGTTTTATGTTGTGATCCTAAACCTCCTCGGAAAGTTCATGTATTATTATGAACTATGTGTATGCAAAAAAAAGAGAGCGAAGCATGCTTATAAAATATAAATTTGACACAGAGTAATAATTTTTGATATATGAAGGTTAAAGGCTACGGGTGTTTTAAGTTGATGTTAAGAAAAATAATAGTGAAGATTGGTTGAGATTCATGGATTCTTACATGTTGTGAGGTGAGACCTAAATTAACTGCCAATTCTTTGATGGTTATTCCTTGTTACCTCAAAGGCTATTCACCTTCTAGAACAACATTCACCTGCCTTATGCCTCATGAGAACCTAGTTGGGATGTCTTATATTCTAACACGAGTGAACTTATAGTTCTCTGATACTATTTGGTATTATAGCATGCACACTTAGCCTCTCAAGCCTAGCATGATATTGTCATGCTTACTTGCTCAAGTATTCTCTGAAAACAACTATTTTTGTTATAGCATGCATGTAAGCATAACAATATATTGTTAGTTTCTCAATCATAACAAGAATACTATTTGGTATTATAGCATTCACATTTAAATTTTGTTTGGAATATTTTTCTTATTGTTTTCTAAAACAATTTTTTAGCTAAAAAATTTCTTGTGAAAGCATTAAAAAAACTGATAAAAAATTGTCCAAAACGAAATCTTAGTCTCTCAAGCCTAACATATGCTTATGCTCATTCAACCATAATGAACTTCCGTTTACTTTCATGAGTCTTTTTTGGCACTTTCCATAGATATTAAGTTGTTTTTTGATGAACGTTTTTTTCATATACGATTTTCTTGTTCTTTCAAGGGAGCCGCTTATAACAAATGTGATGTGGAGAAACGTTGTAGTACAGGTATTAGTTTTGATTTCCACTAAAATGCTTATTAAAATGACGTGCTTACATGCAATCAATGGTCATTCTTTATTTTGATATCATTAATGTCACTTATGGATTTATTCTATAAATGTAGGCTGTTTACCAAGTGACTATTCTCCTTGTTCTTAACTTTGGTGGAAAGAGTCTTCTTAATTTGACGAATGAAACGCAAGAATATGCGGCAAAAGTTAAAAACACTTTCATATTTAATACTTTTGTCTTTTGCCAGGTAAGTGCAGCTACTGATTTAAGCTTTTAATGTTTGTCAAATTGTGTGAATCAATTGTATGAGCAATTTGTTCCTTTCTTTTAAATGGTTTTGTTGATTTATTACCAACTTGCACCATCTTACTTCGGAGGATGGTTTCTAATCCATTTATGCTAGTTTTTATATATAAATATATTTTCTAATGTTGACGATAGAGTTTTCCTGCAGATTTTTAATGAGTTCAATGCTCGGAAACCGGATGAGATTAATATCTTCGACGGGGTTACACAAAATCGGCTTTTTATGGGAATAGTAGGGATGACATTTCTTCTTCAGGCAATGGCCATATTTCTGCTGTATTCTCATTAAAGAGTCCCGATCGAGGATTTTAGCACGCATGGTTTTCTTTTTTCTAAATATTCTTCTTATTTATCATTGCAGATTTTGATCATTGAGTTTCTAGGGAAGTTCACTTCAACTGTGAGGCTCAGCTGGCAGTTATGGTTGGCTTCTATGGCAATTGCTTTATTAAGGTACCGAGCATGAGATAAAAACTATAATTTTTCTTATTTTGAGAGTAAAACTGCTCTAGTTCCCCATGATATTAACCAACCAAGAGCCACACAATTAATAAACTGTATGTTTATATGATTTGTTTGAACATGTTGTATTGTTAGTAATATCATTTTTTCCTTATACTAAGGCTTCGTTTGGGATGGCTTTTTTACTGCTTCTTAAAACAACTTTTTAGTACAAAAGTTGAAATTCTTGTATTTGAAAGCTGCTTTAAGAAGCAGCAAAAAAGCCGTCCGAAACAAAGCCTAAAACTAAGCTTGCCTGATCTTTATGGATTATGATTCCTCCCATTTTCTCAGTTGGCCGCTCGCTTTTGTTGGAAAGTTCATTCCAGTACCAGAGATTCCTCTTCAGGATCTTTGCCGGGGTTTTTTCAGAAGACAAAAGTGTGAACCTGAAGGTTTGTTATCTCAGCATTCTGCAGGTGATGAAACTTGTAAACCAGAAGAAATTTAACTGACAAGTCTAGATAACAGGCAAATGTCTATTCAACCAGTAATTTTGCATAATTGTGAGTCCAATATCTTGTTCAATTACACATATAATCAGTTATAAATGTGTTGTGTATCAGCCTTGTAACATGCATGGCTAACTATTTTGCTCCAGGACATCATTAAGTAAAAGAAATGAAATGCAATTCCGGTTATTTATTGTTTGATTAAATCATTAATCATTGATTTAAGCTTTTCAATCCCCTTTAGGCTTCATTTGGGACTACTTTTTTTCTACTTCATTTTCTAGTATAAAAATTTTAATTTATGTACTAAAAAGCTGCTTAATATCCCAAACGAAGCCTTTCATTTGGGACGGAAATGAAGCCTTTCGTTTGGGACGGCTTTCTTATTGCTTAAAGTAGCTTTTTAGTACATAACTTTTAATTTTTGTACTAAAAAGCTGTTTTAAGAAGCAATAAAAAGCCGTCCCAAATGAAGCCTTAGGCTTCGTTTGGGACGGCTTTTTTATTGCTTTCTAAAACGGAGTTTTAATACAAATTTTTTTATTTTTGTACTAAAACTCCGTTTTAAAAAGCAATAAAAAAGCCGTCCCAAACGAAGCCTTAGTCTTCCCTTCAATCAAATTCCTAGCAGCCAATCATAGCCTGAGTCTGTTGGTTTTCAATTACGATAATATAATGTGTTTAAAGGCTCTTATGAATATTTTTTCTTCCACATTGTTGAGAGAGAATTTGTTGGTAGGGAATCAAATGTTCTATCCAATATCTTGTTCAAATTATACTCTTGCTTCTGAGAATAGAACATGCGAGTGAAAAAGATGTTGATGTAAAACAAACAAACTAATGTAAATAAAATGCATAAAAATAGTAAATCTATTGATAGCTAGGTAATTATGGTTTGCTTAAAGCTCTTAGCAGAGGTGGAAAAGAGTATGGGCAATTGCTTTGGGGGTTGGTGAGGGATTGAGTCAAGGCTTTTTGCCTTTGTAACATTGCTTGATTCATGGGCTAATCTCCTAAAGGGGATTATTTATAGCTTTCAAGAAAGCCTAAAGATCACAATAATCTAATAGCAATTTAAGCTTCGTTTGAGATGATTTTTTTTACTATTTTTTAAGTAATTTTTTAGTATAAAAAATTATAATTTTTTCATACTAGAAAGCTACTTTAAGTAGTAAAAAAGTTATTTTTTTGTTTGGGATGATTTTATTATTGCTTATTAAAATAATTTTTTAGGTAAAAAATTAAAAAAAAATTGTTTTAGGAAAGAGAGTAAGAAATTCTTTCCAACATTTTTTGTAAAAATAATAGAAAGGCTCTCCAGTTGGTACAATTGCAGAGGTCATGATTCATTTTATTTAAAAATGTATTAAAATATGATGTTAAACAAGCTCCTGGTATTCAAATGGTCAGCTCTGAAGTTGACGATTAACACTTTGGATGATGTGTTGGAGGTAACAGAGTCTGAAACTGAATTTTTTATTGCTTTCAAAGCTTCCATCTCAGTCTCACCAAGAATCGCTAGGAGGATGCCATATGGAAGGAGAAATTATTATGTGCGGAGTTCAAACGTAAAGTTATGTCCGAGTTCCAATAAAAATGGGACACGTGTTTTTGTACTGTATATAAATTTGTACGCATTGTATACAATTATGTATATAGTATGTATATTATGTATATAAATTTGTACAAACTTTGTCTATACTTTTATGATTTGTGCATAGTGTGTACAGTTATACACACTATGTATAAGAACACGTGTCGCATTTTTATTAGAGTCCGGACGTAATAATTTCTCCCATAATATGAAGAGCTTATTTCATGGTAAGGTCCTTTTCTCCTAACATTAGTGCTTTGTCATGGTACCTACTTAGATTGACAAATATTAAGGGCTTCAACTTGATTGTGTTGATGTGCTCTTTGATGAGGTTCAGTCCTTCGCATCATGACAGTAGAGATTGTGCAGGAATGATGGGTGCTTAAAATATTTCTAATTATGAATGTCAAGTACCACTTGTACATTGGTAGATTGATAAGGTGCCCTATACCATAGAGTGGTCATGGGATCCCTTTTGCTTTTTAAATATATCCAAACAATTAGCATAGTGGCAATTTGGACTTTTAGTAGATTAGTTGTAGTGGTGATTGCTTGGCTTATGAGGAGTATCTTGAGGATGTTGATGAAGGTTTTATTTTTAGGTATAGGTCTCTTATGATGAGATCACCTTATTGCACTTCTCCACATTGATGTGGCTATCAAAGATCTCTAAACCAAAGTCTTGAATGACTTATTTCCTAGCATGTAGTTGTTGATTTGGAAAGTTTTTCAAATTTAAATTAGCCTTGATTTGAAAGATTTTAATAGCTCATTATTTTAATTGATTAGGGAATATATTATTTCCCTGATTAAGTTTATTTGATTGATGTATTAATTAGGAATTTGATTGGGATTTGATTGATGCATTAATTAATGAGATCTAATTATTGCATTGATGAGGGATTTGATTGAGATGAGATCATCAAGCTTTCTCCTAATTTAGGTTGGCTCAAATATATAACTAGAGCTATGGGGACTGCTCTTATGTGTATGAGAGGAAGAAAGAGCTCATTGTAATTTCCTATTGTTCTACAATATAGTAAAATCATTATCCCCTCCCCGTGGATGTAGGCATTTTCATCAAACCAGATAAATAGTTGTGTTTATTGTGTTTGTGTTGTGTAAATTTTGTTTTCCCTGCTTGCATAACAAATGGTATCAGAGCCTAATTTTAGTGAGATTTCCAGCGATGACTTTGAGAATGGGAGATTAATTAGTTATTTCTATTCATGTGGTTCGTCCAAGCGAATGAAGAGAGCCAAATTGGTGTAATTATGACTATGTGAGACGATTGCAATTTGGTGGAGGCTATGAGATCCGGTGGAGCTATGGATACATCCACTTCAACAGTGGCAAATGCATCAATCCATCAGGTGGTTATACATCCTTCAAAATTGATGTGATGAAATTTGAAAAAGTTTTTATACTAAACAAATTGTTTTAAAAAATAGTCCCAAATGAAGCCATAAATATGATAATCATGGCTTCATTAAAAGGCAAATAGATGAATTGCTCAGGTTTTTCATCATTTCAAAGTCTACACTTTATACGATATTATTTTAGTGCAATATTTTAAGGCTATATTTTGGAGATAATTAAGGAGTTGTTTTGTTGCATGTTTTTTAAATACATAATATATACAAAATAATTGGATTATGTGCAGCTTAGAAATAAAAAATAATTTAATTGTATGTAAATTAAATATGCTGATGATATTGTTTTGTTGCATGTTTTTTAAATACATAATATATACAAAATAATTGGATTATGTGCAGCTTAGAAATAAAAAATAATTTAATTGTATGTAAATTAAATATGCTGATGATATTATTCTTGTTGATAAGACTAGAGAGGGAGTTGAAGGTAAACTTGAATTATGGAGGTCAACCTTAGAGTCTAAAGGTTTTCGCTTGAGTAGATCTAAAACGAAATATATGGAGTGTAATTTTAGTAGTAATAGACCTACTGAAGGGATTGTGACTTTGGGCGATCAAGTCATTAATAAGAGTACACGTTTTAGATATCTTGGATCTATTGTTCAGAGTGATGGTGAAATAGATGGAGATATTATCAGCAGAATTCAAGTTGAATGGTTGAAGTGGAGGAATGCATC